CTGGGCTGAGCTGAGCTGGGCTGAGCTGAGCTGAACTGGGCTGAGCTGGGCTGAGCTTGGCTGAGCTGAGCTGGGCTGAACTGGGCTGGGTTGAGCTGGGCTGAGCTGAGCTGGGCTGAACTGGGCTGGGCTGAGCTGAGCTGGGGTGAACTGGGCTAAGCTGAATTGGGCTAGCTGGGCTGAGCTGGGCTGAACTGGGCTGAGCTAAGCTAAACTGGGATGAGCTGGCCTGAGCTGAACTGAACTGGGTTGAGCCAGGCTGGTTAGGGGTGAGGTGAATGGGATTTGCAGATTGAGTTGAGTCACGCCTGGAATCCTGGCTGCCAGGCTGCCCTCCCCCTCAGTGGGACCTCCTGCAGGACCCCACCCAGGCTCTTAGCAAGCAGGGGGCGCTCCGCCTCGCCTTGCCTCCCTCTGGGCCCACTCAGGCCCAGAAGCCCCGGGGGAGCATGGCTGTGCCCACTGCACAGATGGGGAGCTGTGGCTCCAGGGGTGCCTGTAGATTCAGCTTGTCAGTGGGAGAGCTGTGTCTGGCCACCTGGAGTCCAGCCTGGGACTGGCCTGCACCAGAGGCCCCACGCAGGGAGCACGTCTGGCTTCCTATGTCAGAACTCTGAGGACTGCTCAGAAACACTGCAGCTGGACTCACATGACTGGCCCTGCCCCCAACTCCACAGCATAAGAGCTGTGTGACCTTGGGGCTGTCACTGCCATCTCTGAGCCAGTCTCCTCCTCCATCCTTGTGGAGCTATCAGGGGTCCAGGCAGCATGTCTCACAGTGTGTCCTATGTTGCAGAGCCTGTGACCAGCCCCAATGTCTTCCCACTGAGCCTCGGAAGCACTGACCCAGCCGGGCACGTGGTCATCGCCTGCCTGGTCCAGGGCTTCTTCCCGCCAGAGCCCGTGAATGTGACCTGGAGCTATAGCGGGCAGGGTGCATCAGTCAGGAACTTCCCCCCAGCGCGGGCCACCACCGGGAGCCGGTACACCATGAGCAGCCAGCTGACCCTGCCAGCCGACCAGTGCCCGGAGGGCAAGTCTCTGAAATGCCACGTGAGCCACTACTCCAGTGCCAGCAAGGCTGTGGACGTGCCCTGCATAGGTCAGAGGGCAAGCCATGGAGGGGTGGGGGCCATCACACTGCTGCCCTGACCCAGCACCTGGAGCTCAGTCCCCTGCTGGCCCTCCACTCAGACAAGAGTGGGCTGTGGGGCTGAGCCCCCAGTGGGTGTCCAGGAGAGGGGCCCAGGTTGGACCTAAAGAAAGGGGGTGGCAAGCAGGCACAGAGGTGTGCTGACCTGCTCTGGCCTCACTCTCTGCTCTAGGACATAAATGCCCTGACTCTGAGTGTAACTGCTCTTGTGAGTGTCCGTCGTGCGGCCAGCCCCACCTGTCACTGCACCAGCCAGCCCTTGAGGACCTGCTCCTGGGCTCCAATGCCAGCCTCACATGCACACTGAGTGGCCTGAAGGACCCCAAGGGTGCCACCTTCACCTGGAAGCCCACAGGTGGGAAGGATGCTGTCCAGGGGACGCCCCAGCGTGACCCCTGTGGCTGCTACAGCATGTCGAGTGTCCTGCCGGGCTGCGCTGAGCCATGGAAGAATGGGGAGAGCTTCTCCTGCACCGCCACGCACCCTGAGTCCAAGAGCCCGCAAACTGCCACCATCACCAAAGCCTCAGGTGGGCCCAGACCCTCCCAGGATGCACTGAGAGGCTCTTGATGGTTTGCAAGGCACATTCCTAAGCCTGCCTCCTCCCTGTCACCCCTGGGCTTGGGTGCTCCCACCCACATTTGACAGAGAGGAGCTGAGGTCCGAGGCACCCAGAGAGCAGAGGGGCTCCCTCCTGCTTGCCAAGCCCTGACCCACCCTCTGCCCTCCAGGGAACACCTTCCGGCCCCAGGTCCACCTGCTACCGCCGCCGTCGGAGGAGCTGGCCCTCAACGAGCTGGTGACACTGACGTGCATGGTGCGGGGCTTCAGCCCAGAGCACGTGCTGGTGAGGTGGCTGCATGGGACCCAGGAGCTGCCCGTGAACAAGTACCTGACCTGGAGGCCCATGCAGGAGCCTGGCCAGGGCGTCGCCACCTTTGCCGTGACCAGCATGTTGCGTGTGGCAGCCGAGGACTGGAAGCAGGGGGATAAGTTCTCCTGCATGGTGGGCCACGAAGCCCTGCCCATGGCCCTCACCCAGAAGACCATCGACCGCCTGGCGGGTAAACCCACCCACGTGAATGTGTCCGTGGTCTTGTCAGAGGTGGAAGGCATCTGCTATTAAGCCCCAAATAAACTCCATGCAGCCAAAGCAGTCCCACGCCTCCATCCTGTGGCACATGGGGGAGGGTGCAGGCCCAGGTGAGGCACCGTGACCCTTGCCCTCTCAGGCCATTTCCTGCACAGCCTGGCACCTTCATGCCCATGGACCTGTGTGAGCGTGCATGTGTGTGCATGGTGCACAGCAGTTTGGGCCAAGCTGGGAATGAGGACTGAGGTGACAGGGGCAAGGTGGGCGCAGCCCAGTGGGTCCTGAGGGAAGCAAGCATCATGAAGTCCCCAGCGGCAGGTGACATGGCCATTTGTATCTTGGAATGTGCCTCTAGGGGCAGCCGTGAGGGACCAGAGAGAGAGCACAGGCTGCCAGCCAGGGGCAGCCACCCCGGGTCAGGAGGAGCACGAGGGAGGAGGGCGGGGCTCCAGAGACCCACCTCCTTGGGAGGGACTCGCAGAAGTGCAGGACAGCCCCAGTGACCTGCACCACACCTCTCTGTGCCACACACATGCTCGTGCCTCCTACATGCTCACGCTCACACGCGCACGCGCATCCAAGCCCTGCAGGTTCGAGGAGCTCACAGCCCAGCTCCAGGGAGGCAAGCGGAGTCCCTGCCCAAGCGCCCAGCAGGTTCCCTCAGTCCCAGTCCTGCTGCCCCAGGCTCTCCCTGTGTGCCCCACTGGGCACAGCTCAGGGTCCAATCCCACAGACCCCTCCAGGCAGCCCTTGACCCCGGCCTGGCCCCACCACTCAAGGCTCCCATCCCCTCCCAAGCCCAAGTATGCCCCAAACTACAGGTGGGGCAGCTGAGGTATCAGGGCACCTGTGCAGCTTCTGCTGGGGGCTCCTGGCAGAGGCGAGGCTGAGGGAGACAGCACAGAGGCAGTCACATGGCCACTGTGGGGCACCTGGCACCAGGTCTCCCACAAGGGGGCAGTGAGGCCCCAGCTCTGGTCTCAGACACTTCTGGGCCCCCTCAGTGGACCTGGCCCTCAAGCTGCCTTCCTTTGGTCCCAGAGCCAAGGTGGGGTGCCGACCCCTTCCCACCTGGCCACTTCTCCCTTCTCGAGCGTCCAGTCTCCAAAGGGCCGTAGGGAGAGCGACGGAACTGGGAGAGTGGGCCGTGGAGGAGGTGCTCCGACCACCAAGGGACCCAGGGCCAGGCCCAGATGGACAGCAGGCAGTTGGGTGGATGGGTCCCAGGACACGGAGCAGATGGAAGGGGGGTAGATAGGTGGGTGGGTGGTGGATGGTGGGATGGGGGACTGGCTGTGTCAGCATGTGACAAGAAGGGGTCTGAAGCATGGGGTCCGAATCCCATTTAGCACGCATGGGCTCTGCCCTGAGACCCCAAAGACAGCAGCGCTGCCTGTGCTGGTGGCCTCTGCTGGGCCTCCCTCATGCTCCTCACAGCTCACCAGCCACATTCCCTGGGAAGACAACAGAGGCCCCCGGTCATGCCCATCCGGCCTTTGCACACTGAGCCACAGACCCAGACCTATGTCTCAACCTGGAGCACCCTGGAAGTGGGCATGTCTGGTTCTCTCTGGGTCCACCCAGGGCCAATCCAGCAGCAAGGGCCTAGGGAGGGCTTGCTGAGCATGGATAGGACCCCGATCCAGGGAGCCCGGGGCTTGAGCTCTCTTGAACAGCACAGAGTGCCCACCCTCCCGCCTGGCCAGGCCTCTCCCTGAGGCGCCCTGAGACCTTAAGAGACAGGGTTCCTGTAGGCACCTCAGATAGGGCACCCCCGCTGCTGCCTGGGCCCCGAGGGCATGTTGCTGGGAAGGCTTGGGCTCTGCCCCCACTCATGCAGGCATGGGCCTGGCAGGCCCTCGGTGTCTTGCAGATTGCCCACAGCCCCTTCCCTGGCTGGTGCTGGACCTGCCACCCGAGGACCTGGAGGAGGATGCCCCGGGAGCCAGCCTGTGGCCCACCACTGTCACCCTGCTCACCCTCTTCCTGCTGAGCCTCTTCTACAGTGCAGCACTGACTGTGACCAGCATCCGGGCACCGCCTGGCAGCAGAGAAGGCCCCCAGTACTGAGCAGGAGCCGGCCAGGCAGGCGGAGGCCGAGAACGAAGAGCGGTGGGCTGATGGGGGCAGGCACGCTCAGCTCCCACCAGCATCTTCCCGTCCCACCACTTGGAGGTCTGGCCCCCTCACAGACACCGAGGACGCAGGCAGGCCTGGGATCAGATTGTGACTGTCCCCTAGTGGGATCAGGGCATCAGCTTCCTCCAGGTGCAATAACGCAAGATTCAATCCCATCTCCTGAGAGCCAGGCCACGGCCAGGGACAGGGTGCTGCCAGGCCCTGCACACCTAGGAGAACCCCAGGCCCTGACCCTTCTTGTGTTTGCAGAGAGGAGCTTGGAAGGACCTCCTGTGAACCCAGCTGTATGCCAGAGCCCAACCCACCTTGGAAGCTGCCCGCCTACCCCCACTCACGACTTGCTGGTGTGTGTGTGTGTGCAATAAACCGATCCCAAGGCAAAGGTCTTCAGACTCTGAATGAGGGGAGGGGGACAGGAGAGGGTTAGAGACTTCAGAGAGAATGAGCCTGCCTCAGGCCTAAGGTTGGGTCCCCTTGTGTAGAGCCCCCTGACTTAGTCATGTACAAGGCAGAGACGCAGGACAAGAGCGGGACTCCAGAATAGGGTAGAGAAAGACGCCTCCCAAGACTGCGCCGCATCACTGGTCCTCACCACTGGAGGCTGGTTCTGGTCACTGGGCCCTGATCCTGGTCACTAAGCCCTGATCCTGGTCACTGGGGCCCTGATGATCCTGGTCACTGGGCCCTGGTCCTGGTCACTGAGTCCTGGTCTTGGTCACTGGGCCCTGATCCTGGTCACTGGGCCCTGATGATCCTGGTCACTGAGACCTGGTCCTGGTCACTGAGCCCTGATGATCCTGGTCACTGAGCCCTGGTCCTGGTCACTGGGCCCTGATCCCGGTCACTGGGCCCTGGTCCTGGTCACTGGGCCCTGATCCTGGTCACTGGGCCCTGGTCCTGGTCACTGAGTCCTGGTCCTGGTCACTAAGCCCTGATCCTGGTCACTGGGCCCTGGTCCTGATCACTGAGTCCTGGTCCTGGTCACTGAGTCCTGGTCCTGGTCACTGGGCCCTGGTCCTGGTCAATGAGTCCTGGTCCTGGTCACTGGGGCCTGGGCCTGGTCACTGAGTCCTGGTCCTG